AAATATCTGGCTACAAATGAAAACAAAACTGCCCAGTATGATCTTGCTCAGTTTCGAGTTCAGGTGTGCAAAGCGGGGCCGTTGTGCTTACGTTTCTCTGAGATTCAGGAAGTCCCAAAGCTAAGCCCCAGGGGTCATGATCTGCTACACGTTTATAGTAAGTTCTTCAAAAGTGGGTGTGGAAAGAGGGAGCCCTATGTTTTCCATAGCTATAGGCTTGGCTACAATGCAGATTTTATGTCCATGCTGATCAGCTGGGGAGACATGTGTGATAATAGAAAGAGAATTATCCTCTACTGCCAGAGACCTCAGCCTGGTCCCTGGAGCTGATCTTTGGACCAGAAGAAGATGGCTGAACACCTCTGGGCCTTAGTTACCAGGTTCCCAAATTTACATCAGAACCCATCACCTGCTACTAGGCAGAAGCTGACTCAGATATCCTCTTGACCTTTCCTCCAGCTCCTAACTCTGGAATTCCATGATGCATCAATATCATCTAATCAGATTTCAGTGAGGATCTTGCTCACTTGCCATTCAGAATTAATGAAATGCAGGGATGCAGCCAATATGATCAAAAGAGAGCCCCTCTCTCCCTTAGGAAACTCACACAGAGCACATCATGCTAGCTGGTGATCGGTGAGAACTATATTCCCATGTGAGACAGCACCTACCATTTCCTCTCTCTCCCCCAACCCTTATTTCCTCCAGTGGCTTTGTTTTTTTGTGTGGTAAATGGCCTGTGATGTACACCATTCTATGTGCTGTTAGAAGAAATTTGGTATCTGTGGGAAAGAAACAGCCCTATTTGCTATGCTTCAGTCACCAAGAAAAAGTACTAAAATAGCTAAACAGTCCGTTCACAAGAAAAAATATTCAAATGGATATTTTTCTTTTAGATCATAGTTCTGGTTTCTGTTTTCAGTGGGGATTTCATAGGGGAAAATATTTCACCCTGAGAGCTGGACATTTTGAGACATAAAAGGCAAGGACGCCCACATATCTCTTCATTGTCATAATTTCCCAGTTAGGTTCAGAAAGGATTCCTTGCATGCAAAGATGATTTTTTAAGTGTCATGTGCAGGTTATTCCTTTCTAAGTACAGGATGTGGTGAATAAGAAAGCTGATTCTAAATAACCTTCTTAGAGAGAAGGAAAAAGAATGCTGTCTGAAATAACTCTTCTGTTTGACTGCTTAAATTTTCCTTTTCTTAGATAAATATGTTCTGATAGGTGATTTTGTTGTCCACAGCTCTGTATGTCTAAGAGTTTTCTACTAAAATCCCCTGAAAACTGGGAGAAGACCATATTTTTAATTCTATTTCACAATATTCCAGTCAAATGAAGGTGGTTGAGAAAGGTCATCCATCTTCCCTCCCCACCTTCTCACTGCCCTGAGACTTACATGTTGTCCGCAGCTCCATCTGGAGCATTGCAGCTACTGTCAACCTTGACGCTCTTTCTGAAAAAACACTGGATGGGTATCAGAACTATTTGCTTAAGGACATTCCCACCCGAGCCGCACAGGAAAACTTGCCTTATGATTTTGGATGCACAGATTTGATTTGACTAAACGTGGTAACTAGAGAATTACTCAATTTATTCCCATTTTCAACTCTAAATCATCACATTGTCTCAAATCCAAAGCACACAACAGACCAGCCTGGCCAACATCGTGAAATCCTGCCTCTACTAACAATACAAAAATTAGTCGGTGTGGTGACAGGCACCTGTAATCCAAGTTACTTAGGAGGCTGATGCAGGTGAATCCCTTGAACCTGGGAGGTGGAGGTTACAGTGAGCAGCGATCACACCACTGCACTCCAGGCTGGGCCACAAACAAACAAAAAACAAAGCGCACACAGAGACTGGGGTCCTCTTTGGCAACTGAGAAGATGGCTATGCAAGTCCCAACTGGCAAGTGCTAACTTTTCATCCTTACTTCTGCCAGTGTCTCTTCACCCCTTCCCAATCACACTGGGAGGCAGGAGGATGCCAACAATAGCACTGGCATCACACTGTCAGGGTGTAATAGGAACTGTTACAATTCTGAGATTCTGTATAAGCACTGTTAGAATGCCTTCTGCCTAGAATGCCTTCTCCTCTCTTCTTTCACTACATGCTCCAGTCAAATACAGATGGTTGAGAAGTGCTACCACCGAAGTGCTTTGAGATTTTGGAGTCAGACTACTTGAAATTGAATCCTGGCCCTCCCATCAGAGACTGGACTTATTTTAGGCAAGTTATGGAACCAATTTTACTCTCAGTTCCTTACCATAAAATGGGTCTAATGAGAGTATCTACCACACAGAATTTTGAAGAAAACTAAATGAGATAAAGACCTTTAAGGCAGGGGTCCCTAATCCTGGGGACACAGACAGGTAGCAATTTGTGCCCTGTTAGAAACTGGGCCACACAGCAGGAGATGAGCAGTGGGTGAGTGAGTGAAACTTCATCTGTATTTACAGCTGCTTCCCATCACTCACGTTACTGCCTGAGCTCTGTCTCCTGTCAGATCAGTGGTGATATTAGATTTTCATAGGAGCATAAACCCTATTTTGAACTGTGCATGCAAGAGACCTAGGTTGTGGGCTCCTTATGAGAATCTAATGCCTGATGATGTGTCACTGTCTCCCATCATCCCTAGATGGGGCCATCTAGTTGCAGAAAAACAGGCTCAAGGCTCCCACTGATTCTACATTATGATGGGTTATATAATTATTTCATTATATATTACAATGTAATAATAATAGAAATAAAGTGCATGGTAAAGTACTGTGCTTAAATCATCCACAAACCATCCCAGTCCATGGAAAAATTGTCTTCCACAAAACTGGTCCCTGGTACCAAAAAGTTTTGGGACCACTGCTTTAAAGCCTTTGCATAGTGATTAGAATTCAGGGAAAAAAATGACGCAGCTAGTTGTTGCAATCACTATATTGGTGAGTTTCAAAAGGAAAAGAATTCTGTTCCATTTATGCTTGAGCCTTGAGTTGCTAACCAAGCCTGACACAAAATTATTGTTGAAGGGATGTGTGATCCCTAATTGAAATGAGGCCACTTAAGAGAATTATGGATCAACCCTAAGCAAGGAGAAAGCCACATCTTAATGATTACAAGTATTGCAGGCAAGGTGTGGATGGCCGTTTGAATTCAAGCAGATTAGGACCTGGGATGAGAAAGGAGGTGTGTATGTGACTTGATTTTTGAACTTCAGCTCATCATCTGGAAGAAGGCTGAGTATTCTGTGCACTCACATGGTAGCTAACGCCTACACCCCATCCACCCACAATTCTTTCTGTAGGAAATCTCCCTAGAACACTTTGTGATATTGGATATTACTTTCATATTCTGCTGTGTATCTTAATTCAACCAAATTGTAATAATCTGATATTGATTTCTTTTAATATGAATATAATTATATTCATACTTAGTCTTGGCATGCTTGCTCAGTGTCTCTCTCTCTCTCTCTTTCCTTCCCACTATCCTCTCTCTTTCCTTCCCACTATCCTCTCTCTTTCCCAAGAGGCTTGGAGAGCAGGCATCACCATGCCTATTTAACAGCTGGGGGTCCCTTGACTACCAGGTCCTGGGGTAGGAATCTGATGTGTTTTCCCCACTGTGCTAGGCAGATTACATCAGTGCCAAATTCACAGGAGGGGCGCCCCCTGTTGGTCAATTGAGGAATTGGTGTTTGAGGTAGATCTCAAGATGGGAAGTGTGAGGAGGGGGGCAGAAAGAAGCTCTTGCTCCACAAGCCCCAAGGACCTCAGTCCTCCCTGCTGTCTCCAGCCTCCAGCTCTTACCCAGACTATCTGTGTCCTTCTCTCCACCACAGTCCCTTGGAATCTGCACAAAATATAAAATAAAGGAATTCCTCCCTACTTCTCTTTCCACATTATGACCAAATGGTTTTATACTATCATTGAACGGTGTACAAAACATGCCACCTTTTAATCTATTCATTTATTTAACAAATACTTTGGAGTGTTTACCATGTGTCAAGTGCAGTTCTAATAGACATAAGCTGTGAGGTTATGCTTATCTGATTCTCACAGCAACTGCCTTCGAGATATGAATTGGTATATTCATTTGACAGATGAGGAAATTGAATTCATTTAGTGAGAAAGGCGGAGCTGGAATTCAGGGTTACTTGCTTCTCCTGCACTAAGCACGGGGCCACACTAGAAGAAAACGCATGAGGAAGACAAAAGTGAGCAGGTAGGGGAGAAGATATTAAGTATAGGTCTATCAGTTCTTCTTAAAACTATTTATAAAAGAGGGGGATGGGTAGTGGATGAGAAAGACAAATGGATTTATGCCCTTCACTCCAGGTTTTCCCCCATCCCCTCCTGTTTTAAACGCCTGCTCATTTTTTGGCTACCTTTCAAGCTCTAGGAAACACTCTGGAATTCCAGGCTGGGAGGGGTTTCCGTTGCAGATCTGGCTATTGTAACTTTACAAGAAACTGCTCAATACTTCCTCTCACCAGTGACAAACCACAGTTTTCTGAATGAACTTCATATTCATTAAATAGTTAACCCTTCACCTTTCTGACTCACATTTTTCATGTTATTAGTCATCTTTCGGAGTAAAGTAAAATCTAGAACAGCATTTATGCACACGCTCCCCCACCCACATACATACATAATACAAACAGACCACACATGTCCACATCCTTATGCACAAACACTAAGAAACACATGCATACACAAACATACATGTACACAAAATTTAAAAGATAGCTATCTACATTCACTATACATGTAAATACCCTTACACACACCTGCCTGCTCCCCTACCTGCTCACTTTTGTCTTCCTCATGCGTTTTCTTCTAGTGTGGCCCAGTGCTTAGTGCAGGAGAAGACTCTGTCTTCTGTTTCTTTAGTCCATTTGCCTATCCGTGTAATATGCACTGTGTTAATCATTGTAGTTGTGTAGTACGTCTCAAAATCTGACAGTGTAATTCTTCCTGTTTCTTTCTTCTGTAAATTTTCTTTAGCTCTTTTAGGTCCTTTGCATTTGGATATAAACTTCAGAATCAGGTTGTCTATTCCAACAACAACAACAAAATGAAACTTTCAGAAAGTTTAATTGAAATTGTATTGAATCCACAGACAATTTTGGAGTAAATCGCATCTTGGCAATACTGAGTCCAACCATTACCAGGTAAGTCTCTCCATTTACTTAAATATTAAGTTTTTTTTAACAATGGCTTCTGGCCAGGCACGTGGCTCACGCCTGTAATCCCAGTACTTTGGGAGGACAAGGCGGGCGGATCACCAGGTCAGGAGTTCAAGACCAGCCTGATCAACATGGTAAAACCCCGTCTCTACTGAAAAAAAATACAAAAAAAAAAAAATAGCCAGGTGTGGTGGCACTTTCCTGTAGTCCCACCTACGCAGGAGGCTGAGGCAGGAGAATCGCTTGAACCTGGGAGGCAGAGGGTGCAGTGAGCCAAGATCATGTCACTGCACTCCAGCCTGGGAGATAGGGTGAGGCTCCATCTAAAAAAAAAAAAAAAAAAAAAAAGGCTTCCAATTTCCAGTATGGAGGTCTTGGAAACTATAATTTACATGAACTTCTAATTCTATATTTTTTGGTGTTATTATAAACATTGTTGTTTTAAAAGTTGTCTTCAAATTTTTGTTGTCAGTGCATAGAAATACAGTTATGAATAACCTCTGTGTATTAACTGTATCCAGTGATCTTGCTAGATTCACTGATAAGTCTGATAATTTGTAGATTCTCTGGAATTTTCTTTGTACAAAATCATATCCTTTCTGAATAAGATAGTTTTACTTCTTCATTTTTAATATCTGTGCCTTTTATTTTGCTTGCCTAATTCACTAGCTAGGACTTCTCTAAAGTTGGCTAAAAGTAGTGATGGGGAGGAATAATAAGACAGGTATAGTTTGAAGGTGAGAAAAATATGGTATGAAATATAGAAACTGAAGGGACCAAATCCAATATCTCAAGTCCTATATATGGCTCTAGGAGAAAGAACGCTGTCTCTTGAGCAGTTTTGGTGAGGCAGATTCTGTGGTTGTATTAACAAACCTCTGTTACCCAGAACTGAGTTAATGATTCTTATGGGTTTTCTTTTTTTTCTCTAGTGACCTACTTGACTCCATGATCCAGCCTGTGAAGGAGTAACTGTTGACAGACTATCTCAGAATCACTTTTCCTACAACCCTCTTCTGTCCAAGCAATTTCCACGAATACCCTCCTTTTTGTTGTTGTTGTTCACTCATTAGACAGCTGTTTATTAATGGCTGCTATGTGCTAGGCACTTTAGTAGGCACTGGGAAATAAATTGACAAAATAGATGCAACTCTATCTTTGCTGAGCTTATTATCTTCTGATTTTCAGTGGAAACTCATAGAAAACCTTCATTTGTGGATTTGAAAAAAAAGCTATCTAATTTTTGATATCATTGGAAGTCTGGAGTTATTTATATCACTGGAGGTCTGGAGTTATTTGATGTTAGGATTAGTGCACAAAATGTTATTAAAGACACACGATTTCTATCTGCCCTCTCTACCATCCTCAGGCTGTTGGCTTTGAATATCTTAAGACCACTATGGCTACTATATTTATAAACGTTGTAACTTCCTACCAAAATATTCCAAAAAATGAGAAAGTGAAATGGCAGCTTTTTCTTTTTATATTTGCCTGTTTTCTCTAAATGTAAAATCATTTCTAGAGGTTCTCTTGAAGACCTTCTCTATGTTTCAATTGCAGGAATTTTACCACATGGTCACCCTTAGCTATGTGAAGGGCAGAAAACATGAGTGTCTGGCACAGAGATGTGGATTTACCATGGTCGACTTAGAATAGCCACAGTGAGTCCGCTAGAGCTATTTATATTGTCACCCCAAACCAAACTGGGGTGCTATTAGCAATGGGAAAAAAAAGGAAGGCCAGGCGCAGTGGCTTAAGCATGTAATCCCAGCACTTTGGGAGGCCGAGGTGGGTGGGTCACTTGAGGTCAGAAGTTTGCAACTAGTCTGGCCAACATGGTGAAACCCGGTCGCTACAAAAATGCAAAAATTAGCTGTGCATGATGGCAGTGTCTGTGATCCCAGTTACTTGGGAGTCTGAAGCAGGAGAATTTTTGAACCTGAGAGGTAGAGGTTGCAGCGACCTGAGATTGTGCCATTGCACTCCAGCCTGAGTGACAGGGTGAGATTCTTCTCAAAAAGTTAAAAAAAAAAGAAAAAGAAAAATAAATAAAAAAGGAAATGGCCAATAGATAAGCAGTGAGCTCCATAACTGTAGAAATCACTCTTGTTTTGTTCAACGCTCTATGCCCAGGTCCGAGCCTAATGCCTGGGACACAAAAAGTACTTTAAAAATTATTGAATTAATGGTTGGTAATTGGTAAATATATATTTAATACATAAATGATAAATGAATGACTAATAAATGAATTAAAAAGTATAACCTTTTACTCATTGTTCATGATTCAAACTGGGGGATATTCAAAGGTTTAAGAAGCCCTTTGGGATTTAAACAAGAGCTTGCATCAATTGCTAAAAAAAAATATTATCCTAGAATAACGCAAATACATCAAAACTGCTTTTTTGGATGTGTAAGTTTCTTTCAGATTTTCCACAGTTTATAAATTTACTGGTATCTTCTCTACATCTTACACATTCTAGAAACAAGGAATTCATCATGCTCATGTATGTATGTATGTATGTATGTATGTATGTACGTACGTATTTATTATGTCACCCAGGCTGGAGGGCAGTGGTGCAATCTCAATTCATTGAAAGGTTTGCCTCGCAGGATCAAGTGATTATCATGCCTCAGCCTCCTGAGTAGCTGGGATTACAGGAACCCACCACCATGCCCGATTAATTTTTGTATTGTCAGTAGAGACAGGGTTTCACCACGTTGGCCAGGCTCATCTCGAACTCCTGACCTCAAGTGATCCACCTGCCTCGGCCTCCCAAAGTGCTGGAATTACAGGTGTGAGCCACCATACCTGGCCCATTATGCTTATTCAAATGCTTATTTATTCATTCATACATTTATCCATTCATAAAACAAATATCTAATGTAGCTATTCTGGGCTAGGAAGTGTGCTACTGCATGACTTGGTGTCTGAGGACATTCTCCTACCTTGTACACATTTCTCTTCCTAGCTTATGCCACAAATTCCAACGTATATTGTAAGACTCACTCAAGTATCTCTACCTCAATGAAAACTTCTACTTTCATGAACAGAGAGAGTGTTTTTTCCTTCCTTCTGTAGTCACAATACACTTTACTTACACCTCCGTAAGAATTTTTGAACTTTCCTCTAACTTCATGATTAACTCTCATGTTTTTCTCCTTCATTAGACTATGACTCCTTGATGATAGGAACTTGTAATAATCACATTTTTGTATTCTATTTTAGTATCTGGCATCGTTCTTGACATAGATAGCAGTTGCTTATTGACAGCTTGCTTCTTCAGTGAATGAATAAATTAATAAAGGGACATGTGATGTTCAGTGACCCATTTTGCAGATAAGAAAACTGAGGCAGACAGAGACGTTAGCAAGCCAGAGGCCTTGGGGGACCACTGAGATCGTTTAACTCTTACTCTAGATGTATTCTCCAGAACCCACATACTTTTAGTGAGTCCCTTTGTCCATGTTCTGCCACTGTCACTTCTAAGGAAGGTGTATCATCCCAAATGGGGTGGTATCTTATTGGTGGACCCAAACCTGCAGTGTTCGCCACCTCACCTAGATGAGTACCTGTGCATAGCAATCTGCACATTCATCTTTTCCACTTTCTGAAGGTGTTATCTTTTTATAGGTAGCACCTGCATAACAAGGGGGCCAACCTGGGGAGCAGAAGAGGGCATTTTCACATTCTGAACGTAGATAAGTATCACTAGCTTTTCCCTGCTAGCAGTAATGGCCTCAAAAGTTCCCACTTAAGAGAAAAAGGCAAAACAGTCTGCCAAAGTGAGGGAAAAGTTAGAGCAAACCTCGCTTTGACCAAGACCCTGTGTCTCCCTTCTGGAAATTCACACTTTCAGACAAATATTAAATGTCTGCCATTCTATTACGCACAGGGCCTGGCACATCTAGAAACGCAGCACACTCTAGTCCTTCTTTCTTCCTCTGACTCCAGGTTCTAAACTAGAAAAATCCCCACTTGAGTCCGAGATTTGCTGTTTGAACTAGTTTATTTCCGATATTAACCATGCTGTGTAGGGCTGTGGCAGTGTTTTGCTATTTCTAGGGCACGTTGACCTGATTCTTTTTGCACAGGGACTGTCTTACCCTTTGCCCACTTCATAGAAGTGAGGACTGAGATAGAGGAAGATTAAGTAACCTTTTATTCAAGAAATATTTGTTCCACATTCCCAAAACATTTATTAAATACTAGTGCTTAATGATAGAATAAATTTCACCATAAGGATAAACCAGTATTCTGGACTCAGCCAACTTGGGAGACCCTAGGAGGCCTGTTTGAGAAAGTGACATTTAAACTGAGGCTTGGCTGTGGGTGCATATCCAGTAAGTGACCGAATTGGGATTTGAACTCATGCCTGCTTGACTCTAAAGATGGTGCTTTTGGCTTGGTACTCTGCTCTCTCTCTAGACAAACTCTGGTCCAAAATCATTAAAGCTAATTTCAATCCCTGCCCAACTGGAATTGTCATGTTATGACAAATGGCTCTATGGTCTCAGATGCCCAGCAGACCCATTAGTGGAATTCTATGTGCTAGACCTGGGCAAAATGCCAGAGCCTTACACACCCGTCATATTTGGTCTGGCAAAGGTCTTCAATAAAGAGAAGTAGTTACAGCAATGAAAAGCAACAGGTCCAGCAACACCATAAGAACAAAATAATGAATTCCCCTAAAATATAATAAACAATTTATAGAATATCCACCTACACAATCAATGATTGGCTGAAACAGAAGAGATTTTAGTCTTCTAGCCTTCTTTATTTGTAGATGTCGAGCCTCAGAGAAGTTACATATCTAATTAGTGTCACTCAGGTAGAAAACAACAGAATTAGGATTAGAACTTAGTGCTTATGACTCCCAGAGAAGGGAAAAGACATGGAAGTCCCAAAACATTGCCGTGAACTCACATCTGACACTGAATTGAGAGTCTGCTATATACTCCCTGTGTGACCAGAGCCCTGCAGAGCCCATGAGATTACCAATCATAGACCCTTGATCCACATGAGGCATTTTACCTCTTGCTGTTTGACTTGGTGCCCCATGTTTATTCAGGAATATTCCAAACAGGGTACATCTATTCATTTTACATGTTGAGCACAGATCATTAGGAGACAAATTAAATAAAAACATCATCAAGTCTCATTTATTGTTTAACTTACACTGAGCAATATTTAATAACTAGAATATCAAGAGAGTCCAAAGTGTTTGCCCATCCCCTCAAGACCAATGTAATGGAATCTTATGCTTATTGCCTGCTCAGGGTAGTGGCAATTCAGGATACAGAGGGAAGAAATAAAGAGGGAGAGGTAAGACACAGGATGTACAGAAATCACAGATGCCAAACACTTACCCTTCTTTGCCACCACATTTGACTCACATGGTGGACATGGACAACGCAAGGCTTTCCTGTTTTTTTCAGTGACCTGTGAGAAACAGGTATCTTGATTCAAATCCCAGCTTAGCCAACATAGAGTTTGGTAACACTGGGCAAGTCTACTAAACTCTCTGTACTCCAGCTTCCTCATTATTAAAACGGGGGAAATAATAGTGCCTACATCATAGGATCATTGTGAGAATTAAGTAAAATAATTTACCTGCGCTTTAAAATCCACACTATATTAGTTAAAAATGCTGCTCTTATTATTCTTTTTCTCTACCTTAGGCTACAAACTCTAAGAGGACAGGTTGGGCTGTTTTCTTCATAAAAAAGCATTACAGGAGCAGTACTTAGAACTAGGAGCTTTTCAATGGCCTGCCTGAAATCTGAAAAAATAGGTACATTTTTCCAAAATGTGAAAAAAATCCAATAATTAAAAGTTAATAGATGTGAATAAAGTACTGCAATATGTAATATCAAGGTCCACTTAACTCTTAGTTGTTTATATATAAATATAGGGAAGTTTAAATTGCAAAATCTTATAGAAAATGTGGTATTAAAACTCAAAAGTATAATTCTTTCATATATATACTTAAAAGTACATATTTTTTAGGAGCACATGTGCAGGTTTGTTACATAGGGAAACTCATGTCACAGGGCTTTCCCGTACAGATCCTTTCATCAGCCAGGTATTAAACCTGGTACCCATTAGTTATTTTTCCTGATCCTCCCCCTTCTCCCACCCTCCACCCTCAGGTAGGCCTCAGTGTCTTTTGTTTCCCTCTATGTGTTCATGAATTCTCATCATTTAGCTCCCACTTACAAATGAGAACATGCGGTATTTGGTTTTCTGTTCCCGCCTTAGTTTGCTAAGGAAGGCAGCGTGGCAATTTCTCAAAGGCCTAAAAGCAGAACTACCATTCAACCCAGCAATTCCATTACTGGTTATGTACTCAGATATTTTTCTGGCAAGACAAAGCTGCAACCAGGACATCTGGTCTCCCAGAAACTGCTGCTGTTTTGTTGTTTTTTCTTTTTCCCCAGTTATTCAGGCCAAAACCTGGACCATCCTGGGCACTGCTCTCTCCTGCCCACCCTTTCCCATATGCAGAGTTTCATCACTTCTCTCTGTTTCCACTGTTAACTCCCTGGTCCAAACCAATGTACCTCTTTTCAGGATTATTGCCACAGTACCCTCGCTGGTTCTCTGCCCTCAGTCTTACTCTGAATGGTCCAGTTAAAACCTGAGTTAGATCATCTCATCCTCATCTCAAAGCTTTCTCGTGGCTCCTCTGCTCTCTCAGGAAAAATCTAAATTCTAGATGACCCAAAAAGCCCTCGTCTCAGCTGGGCTCAGTGGCTCACGCCTGTAATCCCAGCACTTTGGGAGGCTGAGGCGGGCAGATCATGAGGTCAGGAGTTCGAGACCAGTCTGACTAACATGGTGAAACTCTGTCTCTACTAAAAATACAAAACTTAGCCAGGCATGGTGGCAGGCACCTGTAATTCCAACTACTCAGGAGGCTGAGGCAGGAGAATCTCTTGAACCTGGGAGGCACAGGTTGTAGTGGGCCAAGGTCATGCCACTGTACTTCAGCCTGGGTGACAGAGCAAGACTTCATTAAAAAAAAAAAAAAAAAAGCCCTTGCCTCTTACTGTTTATCTGACCTAATTTACTACCACTTGTTTCTTTGATCATTCTGTTCCTGCCACACTGACCTCCTTACCACTCCTCAAATACGCCAACCACAACCCCCCCCCCCACTTCCCAGGACTTTGAACTGGCTGGTCCCCCTTCCTGGAATGCCTTTTCCCAGATATCAGCTTGGCCAGCTCCCTCCTCTCCTCCAAGTGTCTGCTCAAACATGACCTGAGTAGGAGCTGTCTTAACAGCCTACTGGTATTGCAGTCCCTCTCATAATACTTCCCACCCACTTCCCTGATATGTCTTTCCACATACCATGCAATATCTGCTGAGATAATGTATAATTCACTTATTTTCTTTATTGTTATTTTAAAGAGAGCAGTGTGTTTTGTGTTTGTTTTGTTTTGTTTTTTGAGACAGAGTCTTGCTCTGCTGCCAGGCTGGAGTGCAGTGGCGCAATGTCAGCTCACTGCAATCTCTGCGTCCTGGATTCAAGCAATTCTCCTGCCTCAGCCTCCTGAGTAGCTGGGACTACAGGCACGGGCCACCACACCCAGCTAATTATTGTATTTTTGGTAGAGAAGGGGTTTCACCATGTTGGCCAGGCTGGTCTCAAACTCTTGACCTCATGATCCACCCACCTCTGCATCCCAAAGTGCTGGGATTACCAGCATGAGCCCCCAAAGCCTGGCTTTGTGTTTTATTTAATGCCGGAATATTTGATGGCTAAAAGAGTGCCTAGCACACAGTAGGTGCTCAATATATACTTGTTGAATAAATGTGTCAATGTTTGATGTACATACATTTTATTGTGTTTGGCTTGCTGCCAGCGCTTCCTCGGAATACAGGAGTGCTTCATGAAACGTCCACTAAAGGTCGTAAAATATTCCACCGAAATCATAAGATATTTTGAGTTTTCTTACCTTTATTTTTATAGCAGCTCCTGGAATTTAGCCTGCATCAGACACTCTGTAAGTTGACCCTGTTTATCTATTCAGCTTTACTTCTCCCTTCTCTCTGCTTTGTATTTGATTCTCTAGTACTTTCAACTGACTGTAATCTGACCAGACTCCAGATTATCTTATGCCTCTTTGCTTTTGTTCATCTATTACTTCTCTCTGTAATTCCTTGCCCTTCCTTAATTTTTCTGGCCAATTCTCACTCTTTAGGACTCAAGGGTTTCTCCCTAGGAGACTTCCATGAGCCTCATGTTGATTTACATGGCCCCAATTATCTGTTCTTTGTAGTCATTCATGCATTTATCTAGTTCAGTATTTGCCATACTACATGGAAATTGTTTCCTCGTGTGCCCATCTCTCCCCCTAGACTGCAAACTCCTAGAGAAGGGCCCAACAATGAGTTCTGAGGAAGAAGGCAGAGCAATGATGGAAGGCTTCTTAAAGAGGTATCTTCCAAGAGGAGCCCCACTCCCTTTCATGAAGACTCATGCTTTTACACGCAGACTATCTAGGAATATATCTAATGTAGTCATGGAAAGAACAGGGGACTTGAGTACCAGGCTGACATGAGTTTGAATCCTGGCTCCCTATTGACCAGGCTGACATGAGTTTGAATCCTGGCTCCCTATTGACCAGACATGTGTCTTGAAAAACTCTCTGAGCCCCAGTGTTGTCATCTGCATAGTGGGAATAACAACATTGCACTACATATATAAGGTATCCAATATAGTAAGTGTCCAATACATGCTGATTTCTTCACCCTCTTCCATCCCTGGGAAAGAAGTAAAATCATCTACTTTTGGTGCCCATTCATTCCCCCTCAGCTGGAAGCATGAGGTGCATAGCTGCCTGACCTGGGGGAAGGGCTGCAAGCAGTAGGTGTTGTTAGATGTGGTGGGGCTTGTTGACTTCCTCCAAGGGGCCCAGCTAACACCTGCCTGTTCCTTGATAGTCAGGTTCAACTTTTACTTAGCACCACAGGAAGTTGGCTGAACATTAACTGAAGTCTCTCTCAAACAGGAGACATCTTTGCCGGGTCCCTGTCCTTCCTAGCCTCATTCCTGCTCTCCCCTGTGAGCAGGCTGCCCTCCCTTCTCCCCCCAGCACTATTGATGGGCAAGAGTACTCAGAACTACTACCTCTCGGGCCATGTCATGTGCCAGGAGCTGCACCCAGGACTTTAATACAGCAGTCAGCTCCCACTGAATGTTCATAGTCACCCCAGGATAAAGAAGGGATGCTATGATCATTTTCTACTTTGCTGTGATCAGGCTCTGTGAGCTCGAGTTACCCCTTCCCAGTCTCCGCTAGTAGAAGTCATATATCAGTCCTATTGGTCTGTTACAAGGATTCAGAGTTCATAATCATAGGGCTTCACTTACAGGCACAAGGTTTTTTCATAGTTTTCTAAGTATTTCTTTCAGCAAGAATGGAGAAAGTCAAAGAGGGCAAAGGTGAGGGGAGAATATGCCATTTCCTTTTATGTCCTTTGCTCTTATAACCTTTGGCTTTAGTTTCCTTATTGTGTCTGTGAGGATGAAACTAGTGATCAGAGTGGTCCAAAATGGATTTGATGAATCTGATTCCAGTGACACAAGATGAATTGGGTATATTTTTCCCTAAAGATAGAGAGACAATATAACATAGTCTTTAATGGACTCGGGAGCCAATTTTCTTAGGTTCATTCTCTTTTCTTTCACGTGTTGATTTTCAATGAACATCTTGTGTCCAAATTCCATCTTAGTGTTTTATTTTCAAAAAATTTAATTTGAGAATGTTAGCTGTATAAATTTGTTCTTTTAAAAAATTCTTTACTAATTGAAATTATTTCCATCTATGCTATTCCACTGAAACCATCCTTAATATGCACTTAATAACTTCATCATATGTTAATGTTTACTTATCAATTTTTACCTTCTTGGTTTTCCAGCTGTATTTAATGTGGTTGACCATTCATTCTTTGAAATTCTCTTCCACTGGCTACTACAATATCACAAACTTTGTCTCTTTCTTCAGTCTCTGTCTTCTCCACAGTCTTCTCTTCCTTTTATATACCTTTGAAAGTTAATGTTTCCTAGAGATATTTTCTTAACTCACTTCTCTACTGATTCTATGTACTTTTCTTGCTCCAACTCTTCTAATTTTACCCATCTCGATGATTCTATAATTTGTATTTTCTGTTTTGATCTCTTTTCAATCTCCGAGACCTAAATATCCAAATGCCTGATGCATAGTGCTTTCTTTTTTACTCCAAAGCTCTCAAAGGCAACATGTTCAAGAGGAATCTGTCATCAGTCTCCCTACATGTAAGCTTCCCCTTGTGTTCAAGCTAGAGACTTAAGAGTCTTCTTGATCTCTTCTTCTCCCTATCTTCTCCATAATCAATCACCAAGTCATGTGGATTTTGTTTCTAAATATGTTAACTTCTTTTTTCTCTCACTTTATCTCCCTTACTTTGAGGTATCTCAGACCCTCAACCTCTCTCACATAGACTTTGACAATAACCATCTTATATCAGTCAACCTGACCAATAGGCCACCTGTGCTTCATGTAGAATCTGGACAATGTAGAGCACTGAGATGCTCACACTGGTCGTGCATGTATAAGTTGGCATGACTTCCAGGGAAACCGAAGACTTATATAGCCTTTGGCCCAGTAATATATACCAGAACACATGAAAGAAACTCTAGCATGTGTACACAATGATATACACACAAAAATGTTCACAATGGCACTATTTTTAGTAGCAAAATTATGGAAACAACATAAGTGTTTATCCATAACAGAATGGACAAATAAGCCATGGCATATTCATTCAATGAAAATATGATAGTCAAAATGAATGATCTAAAGAGATATTATTGGCAATCTTATAAAAGACTGAGTTTAAAAGAGCAGTTTGTGAAAAAGTTTAATCATTTGATATTATTTAATAAGAAGTTTCAAAACATGCAGTCAATTGTATGTATTATTTATGCATAGAGGCAAATTCAGCAATAGTATTAAACCATGCCTGGGAATGATAAGTATCAAAGTCAGAAAGTGGTGACCCTTGGGAAGAGACATATGCATCAGCAGTGGGGCATATAGGATGTTTCCACCATATCTGTAACGTTTCTTTAAAAAATTTGAATCAAGCATGGCAAAGTATGACATTTGATTAAGCAGGATAGTGAATGCATATCTGTTACTTATATTGTTCTTTATAATTTTCTCTATGCTAAAGCATTTTGTAATTGAAAAAAATCTAACAGTATTACTCTCATGCTTAAAATATGCCAATGACCTCCAGTTGCCTACCAGGGAGCATCCACATTCTTTAATGGAAAGCCCTTTCTCACTTGGAACTTGACAACTTGGATTGGACATTTGCAGTTTTATTTCTAAGAACTATTCCCTGTTGTCAGTGGAGCCTGATTTCTACTTGGGTATCTATGTGGTTTAGGAAAACTGACCCCAAAATCCAATTCTAGATTTGGAGCATGTGACCTTGGCTTAATCAGTTAGCACATTTCTTTCCCCTCACCTCAGGGAATAATCATATGAACTAAGCCAGTTTCAACAGAGCAAACCTCATGTTTCTAATGAGAAACCCAGAACAAAATGCTGTATTTTTCTTTATTTTTTTTTTATTAGGCCAGCTCCTGTATCAATTAAAATACAAAACAAAACTAAAAAATATAAAAAGGCTGAAACACAAAAGCTCTGCCCACTGCAGTATGTAGCTGCTAAGGTTGCTGTATTTATTGGCATCAAGCAGGTGTTCCAGGAAAGAACAGAGAAGATGTGTCTGGGAGCCCTTATGTGTACGTCTGCAAGTGGCAGATATCACTACTACACACATGCCATTGTCTGGAACTGAGTTGCGTGGATACACCTAATTGTAAAAAAGGCTGGGAAATATAGAGAATTGTGCCAGGAAGAAGAGACAATTCATTTATGGAAGACGTAGCTAATTTCTCACAGGCATGAAACGAGAAGTGTTTAGCTAATTCAAGCTCATAGCAGCCATCATTTCCCCTAAGACAGCTTAGACTAATATTGAAATAGAAACCATGAGGAAAGGAGTGATACTGACACTGACCGTGTCTTTGAGGACATGTACTTATGGTACACAACATGAATTTATTGAGGACCTGCCCTAATACAGGTCCTCTTTACTAGACAGCAAAGAGAACTGATATTCTCTTCCTTCTTGCCTGCCTGGAGCCTATACTCTGGAGGGGATAGAGCTAGCAGACCAGACCAAACTGGAAATCTGCTGTGTCTCTATATATTTTAGTGATGTGAGCCAATATATCCCGTGATTGCCCAAAGTAGTTTGTTCTGTATATTTTGTTGCTTTAAATTGAACACATTCTTATGTACAGTTGCTGTCTTCTCATCTCTAACCAAGCAAAATAGCTTGTTCTCTGTATGCAGGGACATATGACGTTTTCCCCTTGGCTTTGTGCATATCTTCACCTCAATTTAAAATACCTTCCTATCCCTGCTCAAAGTCACACAGCTTAATAATGGTAGACATAGAATTTAAATTACTGCCATAATAGGCCTTTTAAACAATGCCTTCTTCTCTTCATTCTTTCCTGCTTAGAATGGGTATTCTTTCTGGTGCATCATGTAAGGGAATGGAACTACATGCATGTAATAATGAGAATATTTATATGTATTTATGGCTATTACAAAAAAAAGATTCTAACATTCTAGAGGAAAATTTATTTCATTTTGAGAAAAGCATAATTTTATTTACTTATTTATGCAAATTTATGGGGTACCTGAGAAAATGTGTTACATGTATTTACTGTGTAGTGACCCAGTCAGGATATTCATGGTGTCCATCACTTGAGTATATTACATTTGTGTTAAGTATAATCATCTTACTTCAGGGGAACATTTTAAAAACTGTTCTGTAGAGATACTCCTTGAATTAAGTTTTCAATTCTGAAACATCAGATCAGCTAGGAATTTGGCAAAAATGCAAGTTCTCAGATGGTAAATGAGACCCCTTGAATCAGAATTCCTGGAGTGGAGCCCACACATTTGTATTTTAAAACCTTTACAACGATACTTATGTACATGCTCAAGCTTGAAAACCACTTTCTTAGGACAACCAGATTTGTGAGTAACCTTGTTTCATGAAACTGTTTAGGAAACACTGATTTAATTGCAACAAAAGCCAAAATAGACAAATAGGATCTAATTAAACTCTAGAGCTTCTGCACAGCAAAGGAAACAATCATTAGAGTGAACCAGCAACCAACAGCATGGGAAAAAGTTTTACAATCTACCCATCTGACAAAGGGCTAATATCCAGAATCTACAAAGAACTAAAACAGATTTACAAGAAAGAAACAAACAAACCTATTCAAAAGTGGGCAAAGGATATGAACAGACAATTTTCAAAAGAAGACATATATGAGGCCAACAAACATGTGAAAACATGCTCATCATCACTTGTCATTAGAGAAATGCAAATCAAAACCACATTGAGATTCCATCTCACACCAGTTAGAATGGCGATCATTAAAAAATCTGGAGACAACAGATGCTGGAGAGGATGTGGAGAAATAGGAACACTCTATGACACTGTTGGTGGGAGTGCCAACTAGTGCAACCATTGTGGAAGACAGTATGGCAATTCCTCAAGTACCTAGAAATAGAAATTCCATTTGACCCAGCAATCCCATTGCTGGGTATATACCCAAAGAATTATAAAATGTTCTATTATAAAGACACATGCACATGTCTGTTCATTGTGGCACTGTTTACAGTAGCAAAGACCTGGAACCAACCCAAATGTCCATCAACAATAAAGAAAATGTGGCACATATACACCCTGGAATACTACACAACCATAAAAAATGATGAGTTCGTGTCCTTCATAGGGATATGGATGAATCTGGAAACCATCATTTTCTGCAAACTGACACAAGAACAGAAAACCAAACACCACATGGTATCACTCATAGGTGGGTATTGAACAATTAGAACACATGGACACAGGGAGGGGAGCATTACACACTGCAGTCAGGTGGTGGGGACTAGGGGAGGGACAACGGGGGGTGGGGAGGGATAAAGTGGGGAGAAATATCAGATATAGGTGATGGGGGGAGGAAAGCAGCAAAACACCTTGCCATGTCTGTACCTATGCAACAACCCTGCATGATCTGCACATGCACCCCAGAACCTAAAGTGCAATAAAAAAAATAAAAAATAAAATAAAATAAAAATAAAAACCTAATCAGGTTTTTATTGCTTGCAGGGCTTTCAAAACGCAATAGGCTACTGTGCATTGTTAATTTCTAAGAGGAAGATGCTTATGTCTCCACTGAATATCTTTCCACCATGAAGTACTCTTCTTCCCCTACTTTTTAAAGTAAAACAATTATTAACACCTGGCAGAAGTAGGAAGAGAGCTTACAGCTTAGAAAAAGTTGACCTAAAATAACGACTAATTTTCATATGTTATTTATTTGTCATCATGCTTATCTTTCTCTCTCCAAGTTGTATGTTTCATCTCAGTGATCACTGATTGAGCTTCATATTTCATATCTGCCCGTGGCCTAATGTTTGTTTACAGAATGAACTCAATGAGTATTGTTAAGTGAGTAGGATTTAATTTATTTGATAAATAGATAACCTTAAGTTTAAAACTGTGGATTTCACATAAGGACATTTACTTAATATTGTTAAACTGTAATTAATTTTAATACTATTTATGTACTCATAATAAAGAACAGGATATTTGGAGAAGGAAGGCAGTACCATTTCTGGTTCTTAGTCTTACCAACTTATTATCATGAGTAAATAACCTCTCTGTGGCTCAGTACCTTCCTCTGTAAAATGGCAACATAGTGATGTTCACTTCAGAGAACTGATTTGTAAAAGGGCTGGATGAGGTTATGAGAATGTTTTGCGCCGGGCGCGGTGGCTCAAGCCTGTAATCCCAGCACTTTGGGAGGCCAAGGCAGGTGAATCACAAGGTCAAGAGATCGAGACCATCCTGGTCAACATGGTGAAACCCCATCTCTACTAAAAATACAAAAAATTAGCTGGGCATGGTGGCGCATGCCCGTAATCCCAGCTACTCAGGAGGCTGAGGCAGGAGAATTGCCTGAACCCAGGAGGCGGAGGTTGCAGTGAGCCGAGATCGCGCCATTGCATTCCAGCCTGGGTAACAAGAACGAAACTCTGTCTCAAAAAAAAAAAAAAAAAAAAAAAAAAGAAAGAAAGAAAAGAAAAAGAGAATGTTTTGCAAAATGACATAGAAAGGTTAATTGCAAACTTCATTTGAATCTTCAATTATTTGAGATAGGTCATGCTGTGAATCAACTATGAAGTGCAGAAATTGTCAAGATTAAATATTTCTTTCCAAAGAGCTGAGAGAAGGGGCTGCTTGTTTGTTTCTTTAGTTTTGGAAAGATGCCAGGATGGGCTCATTTTGGGGTTCTCCTCTCATTTGTTCCTTTTACTTTTCCTTTAGTTTCTCCATTCATTAGGATACAGTACTGCAAAGCTTTATGGCATTTTTATTTTGTGGGAGATGAATCTGAATAAAGAATTACAGTTGAATCATTGCTAAGTTTGATGAATGAGCAGCAAAGAACTTTTCAAGATGCCATTTTTTAAGTTTTTACAAAAATGATTGGCTTTCAGTGGTTGCCTCTAAGGAGTTTTAATTTTGAATAATGCATAGACAAATGTACACACACAAATCATTCAGTGTCCACGTCTAAGGGAAATAAACGTGCCTGTGGAGTGAAACTCTACCTTTCTACATCACCAGCTTCCTGGTAGAGCAGAGTTTTTCTTTGTTCAAAGTCTAAGCATTGAATAATTTCTTTTTAGTAGGTAGTTTTAAGACTAGGGAGTATACATTTAAAATGCTGAAACTCAGTTAAGGAATAATCGAATACTATTTTCGACTGAAAGTCAGTTGAGAAATTTATTTCCAGTGATGTGTAAAGGAAAATCAACTGCAGTAATGAGGGAGATGATTTTGCTGATAACTACAACAAATATTTACTACCAACCTGCTATGCACCATGAACTGTGCTAAATGTTTTATACATATAACTTTATTTTGTTCTCCAACAACCTATTACATAGAAATTGTTATTATTCCCATTTTCTAGATTAATAAATTGGTTTAGAGGGGGTCATATAGGTGAAACAACTCACTCAATGTCACAAGTTGTTATGTGGTGAAACTTGCACGATCAGTACAAGGTCCTGGTCTTCCACTCATTGAGTGGTACTAGTCAAGATCTATAAGTTCTTCTGGTCTTAGTTTTTCTAGCTGTGAAGTGAGAATGATTAGGACTAGTCACAGAATATTAGAGGGCATGTGAAAAAGAAACATTGCCTATTTAAAGAGCATGAAAAACTCGGGTTGTAAAATTTTCTCGTGGATAGCTTATTCCTATTCTTTTAGATAACACTAACAAAGTTGACCTGAGAATTGGAGTGCCTGGGACAGAACCTTGTTGGTATCACCTGTTTACTGTATGACATCAGTCAAGTTATTAACTTTTTGTTCCTCATTTGTGAAATATAGTTAATGGATGTGTGTTTGCATGTGTATGTATCCCAACTTAAAATAGTTCAACTTTTCAACTTACAATTTTTCAACTTTATGATGGGTTTATCAGGACATAACCCCATTGTAAGTCGAGGGACGTTTGTGTATATATACATATTTATTTGTGTGTGTGTGTCTGTGTGTGTCTGTGTCTGTGTCTGCCTGCCTGTCCTTCTGCCTGTCTGAGAACAGTCTGGCACAAAAGTGCTTATTACACTTCACTCATTGTTATTAATATTACTATTGTTGCACTTTTCCCTTGAAGGCACACTTTAGATGTGAGCTCAGAAGAAGAAACTGGCAAGGACAGCAAAGAACAGGAGAACATTCTAGCTTCCTTGATAGCATTCAAGGTGCTGTCCTAAGTGAGTTTTCCTCAAGCAAGAGATGTGCTGCCTCTTTTATGCTTTGTTTTTACTACTTGCCTACTCTGTTTACACCTTCCAAGCAAGGACCAATCAGCAAAACACTAAGAGAGTCACTGTCGTGAGGATGATTATGAACTGGCTGAGTCCTTGAAATGTTTATTATTTATGTTTTTAAGGACAGATAATTAAAGGCCCATGAGCATCTGGTCTCTCTCTCAATTCTAAAAGTGGAGTCTTACAGAAATCCACATAGCACTTGGGGTTGTGCACTTGCTTCTAAAGGTTGTCTTAATAAATCAGTGCCCTGGTGTACTTCCTGGGATTTCATGACCATGTGAAATCTCTTAGTCTTTCGAATTTACATTTTCCTGAGTTTGCATATTTTTGTTGCATCTGCTTTGTTACCAATGTACCATGTCCTTATACATTTGGACTGCATTTACTGAGGCTTGGAATGGTTTCTCAGAAATGCAACATTAAAAACCCGGGGTATGACACTGAGACGTGGAAAGAGCTTCCCTTCTAAGCTCTTCGGGCATGCTGAGAATTAGTCTAGAAAATGATTTTTTCCTCAATTTTCAAAGATAGCAACCTATATAGAATCAGATAATTACATGTAAGAATTTATTAAAGAAACTATCTTGATTGCTAGAAATCCAATCTGGTAGTGTGGAGAGGGCTGCAGTGACTTGCTGCAGCAGAAGTGCTATGGAAATATTTACTAAATACCTTCTGCGTACTGACCATTGAGTGAAGCACTTTCATATCCCTTGTAACATGTGGCTTAGTCTAAGATAATACTTGAATGTAATTCTAACAAATGGATAACCGTGGAATTATCATCATTTTTCAGAGGAAACACCAGAGACCGTAAGAAACTGGGCCCAGAACGTTAAACAGAGTAGACCTGTTTAACTGTTCTGGGCCCAGTTTCTTACGGTCTCTGGTGTTTCCTCTGAAAAATGATGATAATTCCTAATCTGCTACTATGCAACAAATCACCCCAAACTTTAGTGGCTTCAAACAACAAACATTTATTATCTCACTGCTTCTGGCACATAGGAAGAACTGCATAAGTGATTGTTATTCTTGCAAATTATGTTCCTTTCATTGAAACTGTATATCACTAAGTTGGAATGTGATACATAGAATCATGGAAGGTAAAGTCATAGAACAATAATTCAGCCATGTTCATTATTCTAAGTGCTTTACATATATGAAGTCAACTACATTTCACAAGCCTGATGATGTCGATATTAGGATTATCCCCATTTTAGAGAGAGAGAAATTTAGAGAGACATTAAATCTTGCTCAAGTTTAGAAAACAATAAACAAAGCAAGAAGTCAAACCCAGGTAGTCTGGTTGCAGATATTATGTTCTTAACCTCCATTTCATACAGCCTCGGGGCTGGATTAGGAAAGAGCCTGTGTACCATGCCTCATACTTCTTTATCCAGAGAGTAACTCAGAGTGATTGAAAAATATATAATCAGAAAAATGGTTCTTACCACTCTGCAGAGCAAAGAGTGCAGAGATGGGAGACAGACTGGAATAACACAGTACTTTGAAACCGGCATGAAAGCTGTTCTAGCAGGAAGTTAAGCATCATATTAGGAAGTGATGGAAAGAAATACTCAAGAATAACGTTATCTTATTGAAAGTCTGCTGGGCATGGTGGCTTGTGCCTGTAATCCCAGCACTTTAGGAGGATCATGAGGTCAGGAAGTCAAGACCAGCCTGACCAACGTGGTGAAACCTCATCTCTACTAAAAATACAAAAATTATCTGGGCGTGGTGGCTCACATCTGTAATCCCACATACTCAGGAGGCTGAGGCAGGAGAATTGCTTGAACCCAGGAAGTAGAGGTTGCAATGAGCCGAGATCGCACCACTACCCTCCAGCCTAGGCAACAGAGCGAGACTCTGTCTCAAAAAAAAAGAAAAAGAGAAAGTTTTAATTTTTCTTCTGTCAGATACCATTTACTGAAGTCCACCTTCCACTTCTTTCTTCATATATATGTCTCTATATAGACATACAATTTCCTAGCTTCTCTTGCAGTTAACTGTGGTCATGAGCTTTGGGCAGTGAAATGTGAATGGATGTGATATGGCCACTCCATGTGGGTTTCTCTGTGTCATTTCCCCTTCTAGCTGACTGGGATGGCACCCTCCAGACAGACAGCGATGCCACGTGTTCAAGATGGCAGAATCACTATCAGCTTCAATTCCTGAATGACTGCAGAGCAAAATTTCCTACCTGCAACATATAGTCTATTTGCAACCTCCCTGGACTGTTAAATAATGATATATTAAAATATTTGTTGTGTTGAGCCATCCCAAGTTTGATCTATTTGTCATTACAATCTATCCTACTAATATATTTCTGATCAAAATAATGCTAGAATCATGAGATTATAGTCCAGAGTTTTTTTTTTTTTTTTTTTTTTTTTTTTTGAGACAGAATCTCACTGTCTCCCAGGCTGGGGTGCAGTGGCATAATATCAGCTTACTGCAACCTTCACTCCTGGGCTCAGGTGATCCTCTCTCCGTAGCCTCCCTGAATAGCTGGGACCACAGGTGTGCATCACCATACTCGGCTAATTATTTTGTATTTTTTTGCAGAGATGGGGTTTTACCACATTGCCCAAGCTGGTTTCAAACTCCTCGACTTAAGAGATCTACCCACCTTGGCCTCCCAAAATGCTGAAATTACACATGTGAGCCATAGTAATAGTTCCTAGCCATAGTCCAGAGATATTTCAAAAACTTTAGTGTGAGTTATTTCTCTTTGCTATAATGCTTATGCTTTTTGAAATCCTTTTCTGCCATACCATGCTTTCTGGGAAGTCATTTTGGACAGACATATCACAGGATGGAGAAATTAAAGAGAGAGAGAATGCATTAAAAAAAAGTAGCGCCAGGCGCGGTGGCTCACGCCTGTAATCCCAACACTTTGGGAGGCCGAGGTGGGTGGATCACGATGTCAAGAGATCGAGACCATCCTGGTCAACATGATGAAACCCCATCTCCACTAAAAATACAAAAAATTAGCTGGGCACGGTGGTGCGTGCCTGTAATCTCAGCTACTCAGGAGGTTGAGGCAGGAGAATTGCCTGAACCCAGGAGGCGGAGGTTGTGGTGAGCCGAGATCGTGCCATTGCACTCCAGCCTGGGTAACAAGAGTGAAACTCTGTCTCAAAAAAAAAAAAAAAAAAACAAGTAGCATTTTATATTTCAGAAATTACAAAAGATGTCTGCCCCAGCAGAAATAGAATGGTGGGCAGTCATTTGTAACCCACTGAACATGAGTTTCTAAAATTTAAGTGTTTTTAACTTACCAAAGTCAACTTATCTGATGAAGTTAGCACAGTGATTACTCCAAATATGTGAAATCCAAATTTCAAACACAATAGCAGGAAATTGGAAATGGGTAGGTATATTTCTGATTGTCAAAGAGTACAAAGTAAAGAGGGGCCCCTGAAGATTGACACCACTGGAGAAACAGAAGAAAAAAAACTGTCCTTTCAAAGAGCAGTCAACCTCAAACTTACTATTAATGACTATATTTCATTTCAGTCTACTCCAGTGATTTTGTTTCCCACAGACTGTGGAATGTAAGCCTTTTTGGACACTGACAGATTTTCCAGCACGAAAAATATCAGGGGATTAACTGACAAATCATGGGTATTTTTGACAAGATAGATTAGCCCTAGAAGTTTTCTCCACCTGAGAAAAAAAGATACCTGCCACCTAAGGGTTACAAAGACTATTGGCAGCTAACCTCAGGCTCCTGTCTTTCTTTACCACTTTACCTTTGCCCTGTTTTTATTAAGTTCTGGGATACATGTGCAAAACGTGCAGGTTTGTTACATAGGTATACATGTGCCATGGTGGTTTGCTGCACCCATCAACCCATCATCCAAGTTTTAAGCCCCAAATGCATTAGGTGTTTGTCCTAATGTTCTCCCTCCCCTTGGTCAGGCCCCAGTATATGAGTTGCCCTCCCTGTGTCTATATGTTCTTAATGTTCAACTCCCACCTATGAGTGGGGACATGCAGTGTTTAGTTTTCTGTTCCTGTGTTAGTTTGCTGAGAATTAGTTCCAGTGTCATCCAAGTCCCTGCTAAGGACATGAAACCATTGTTTTTTATGGCTGCATAGTATTCCATGGTGTATATGCATGACATTTTCTTTATCCCGTCTATCATTGACTTGGCATTTGGGTTGGTTCCAAGTCTTTGCTATTGTAATTAGTGATGCAATAAACATATATGTGCATGGGTCTTTGTAGCAGAATGATTTATAATCCTCTAGGTATGTACCCAGTAATGAAATTGCTGGGTCAAAGAGCATTTCTGGTTCTAGATCCCTGAAGAATCACCACACTGTCTTCCACAATGGTTGAACTAATTTACACTCTCACTAACAGTGTAAAAGCATTCCTGTTTCTCCACAGCCTCATTAGCATCTGTTTCCTGACTTCTTAATAATTACCATTCTAACTGGCATGAGGTGGTATCTCATTGTGGGTTCGATTTGCATTTCTCTAATGACCAGTGATGATGAGCTTTTTTTCATATGTTTGTTGGCCATATACACGTCTCCTTTTGAGAAGTGTCTGTTTATATACTTTGCCCACTTTTTTGAGGGCTTTTATTTTCTTGTAGATTTGTTTAAGTTCCTTGTAGATTCTGGGTCTTAGATCTTTGTCAGATGAGCAGATTGCAAAATTTTTCTCCCAATCTGTAGATTGCCTGTTCACTCTGATGTTAGTTTCTTTTTCTGAGCAGAAGCTCTTTAGTTTAATTAGATCAAATTTGTCAATTTTGTTTTTGTTTCAATTGCTTTTGGTGTTTTCGTCATGAAGTCTTTGCCCATGTCTATGCCCTGAATGGTATTGCCTAGGTTTTCTTCTGGGATTTTTATGGTTTTGGGTTTTACATTTAAGTCTTTAATTCATCTTGAGTTAATTTTTTTATAAGGAATAAGGAGGGGGTCCAGTTTCAGTTTTCGGTATATGGCTAGCCAATTTTCCCAGCACCATTTATTAAATAGAAAGTCTGTTCCCTATTGCTTGTTTTGTCAGGTTTGTCAAAGATCAGATGCTTGTAGATGTGTGGTATAATTTCTGAGGTCTCTGTTCCATTCCATTGGTCTATATATCTGTTTTGTTACCAGTACCATGCTGTTTTGGCTACTGTAGCCTTGTAGTATAGTTTGAAGTCCGATAGCATGATGCCTGCAGCTTTGTTCCTTTTGCTTAGCATTGTCTTGGGCTCTTTTTTGGTTCCATATGACATTTAAAGTAGCTTTTTCTAATCTGGGAAGAAAGTCAATGGTAACTTGATGGGAATAGCATTGAATTTATAAATTACTTTGCTCTGTCCCTGTTTGTACATACATGACTGATAATGGTTTGGCTGTGTGCCCACCCAAATCTCATCTTAAATTCCCACATGTTGTGGGATAAACCCAGTGGAGGGCAATTGAATCATGGGGGCAAGTCTTTCCCATGCTGTTCTCATGACAGTGAGTAAGTCTCATGAGATCTGATGGTTTTAAAAAGAAGGGTTTCCCTTCACAAGTTCTTTCTCTTTGTCTTCTGCCATCCATGTAAGACGTGACTTACTCCTTTTTGCCTTCTGCCATGATTGTGAGGCTTCCTCAATCACATGGAACTGTAAGTCCAATTAAGCTTTTCTTTTGTAAATGGCCCAGTCTCAGGTATGTCTTTATCAGCAGTGTGAAAATAGAGTAATACAGTAAATTGATACTGGGAGTAGTGTGCTGCTAACTAGTTAACAGGCAGAGGTTGGAAGAGTTTAGAGAGCTCAAAATAAGACAGGAAAATGCAGGAAAGTTTGGAACTTCCTAGAAACTTATTGAATGGCTTTGACAAAAATGCTGATAGTGATATGAACAATAAGGTTCAGGCTGAAATGATCTCAGATGGAGATGAGGAACTTTGTGGGAACTGGAGTAAATGTGACTCTTGTTATGTTTTAGCAAAGAGACTGCCACCATTTTTCCCTTGCCCTAGAAATCTGTGGAACTTTGAACTTGAGAGAGATGAGTTAGGGTGTATGGTGAAAGAAATTTCTAAGCAGCAAAGCATTCAAGATGTGACTTGGGTGCTGTTAAAAGTATTCAATTTTACAAGGGAAGTAGAGCATAAAAGTTTGGAAAATTTGTAGCCTGACAATGTGATAGAAAAGAAAATCTTATTTTCTGAGGAGAAATTCAAGCTGGCTGTAGAAATTTGCATAAGTAACAAGGATCCAAACGTTAATCCCCAAAAAAATGGGGAAAATGTTTCCAGAGCATGTCAGAGGTCTTCATTGTGGCCCCTCCTATCACAGACCTGGAGGTCTCAGAGGAAAAAGTGGTTTTGTAACCCAGAACCAGGTTACTCATGCTGTGTGCAGCCTAGGGACTTGGTGTCCTGCGTTCCACCCATTCCAGACATGGCTGAAAGGGACCAATACAGAGCTTGGCCTGTGGCTTCAGAGGGTGCAAGCCTCAAGCCATGGCAGCTTCCACTTGGTGTTGAGCCTGCCAGTACACAGAAGTCAAGAATTTGGGTTTAGAAACCCCTGTGTGGATTTCACCAGATGTACGGAAACGCCTGGTTTTCTGAGCAAAAGTTTACTGCAAGGGCAGGGGACTCATGGAGAACATCTGCCAGGGCAGTGCAGAAGGAGCCCCCACATAGAGTTCCTACTGGGGCACTGCCTATAGAGCTGTAAGAAGAGGGCCACCAGATTCCAAACCCCAGAATGGCAGATCCACTGACAGCTTGCACTATGCACCTGACAAGCTGCAGACACTCAACACAAGTACATGAAAGCAGCTGGAAGAGAGGCTATACCCTGCAAAGCCACAGGGGTGGAGACCAAAACCAAAGGAACTGACCTCTTGCATCACTGTGACCTGGATGTGAGACATGGAGTCAAATGAGATCATTTTGGAACTTTAACATTTGACTCCCTTGCTGGATTTTGGACATGCGTGGGACCTGTAGCCCCTTTTCTTGGCCCATTTCTCCCATTTGGAATGGCTGTTTTTACACAATGCCTGTACCCACATTGTGTCTAGAAATTAATTAACCTGCTTTTGATTTTATAGGCTCATTGGTGAAAGGGACTTGACTTGCCTGAAATGAGACTTTGGACTGTGGACTTTTGAGTTAATTCTGAAATGAATTAAGACTTTGGGGGACTGTTGAAAAGGCATAATTGGTTTTAAAATGTGAGGACATGAGATTTGAGGAAGGGCAATGGGTGGAATGACATTGTTTGGCTGTGTCCCCATCCAAATCTCATCTTGAATTCCAGTGTGTTGTGGGAGAGACCCAATAGGTAGTCACTGAATCATGAGGGCAAGTCTTTCCCATGCTGTTCTTGTGATAGTGAATAAGTGCCATAAGATCTGATGGTTTTAAAAAGAGGAGTTCTCCTCCACAAATTCTCTCTCCTTTCCTGCTGCCATCTATGGAAGACGTGACTTGCTCCTCCTTGCCTCCCACCATGATTATGAGGCTTCCCCAGTCAGTTGGAACTGTAAGTCCAATTAAACTCCTTTCTTTTATAAATTGCCTCATCTAAGGTAGGTCTTTATCAGCAGTGTGAAAATGGACTAATAGAATGACACAGAGTAGTCAGAACAGTGCTTATAAATGTGCCAGTGTTAATCAACATAGGAGTTTACGATTTCCTGTTTTTCTGTGATTTCTCATATACTAAAAATATGTGAAGGTAAAATATACAATTTTCATTCAAAATTAACTGATTAACCTCATATTGCTTCCAAGGGCATTTATTGGCGCCTACTATGTGTGAATCCCTCCTATTTCACTTGCTTATGTAAAAGATGATTAGTAAAGTGGTTATGTAACTTAATGTAGGTCGTGCAGTAGGAAGTTACAGACTAACTTTCTAAACTGCTTTACTTCCAGCTTAGTTTCACATTCATGTGTTCAGTCAACAAGCACTTACAGAATCCTGATGTTGGGCCCAAATCTGTGGTAAACACTGAAGATACAGACCTTGTCCCTGCCTTCACAGAGCTCACAGTTCAGGAGAAAAACCAGATTGAATCAAATAACCACACAAAAATTTTCTTATAAAATGAAATCAATGCTACAAGGAAAATAAATAGGGTGATTTGGGCGCATATAATAGGATTTTACCATATCTAGTGATTCAGAGTAATGTCCTCCTATAGAAGAGATGTGGGAACTGCCATGTGAAGTAGCAGCATTAGTTAGCCAGGTGTGGCTGATAAAAGATCACCAACTTATCCAGAAAGAGGTAGGATTGCTTTCCCCATGCATTAAATCTGGACTGGCCTTGACTTTCAGTGTGCAACAGATAAAATGGAAGTTTCTGCTCTTGCTCCTTGGGACTTTGTTCTGAGAATGCCAATTGAAAA